ACCTCCAATAGAAAAGTGACACAGTGCAAAATCGTCATTTTTCAGCTAAAAGCTGATAAGAGGTTACCAAGAGGTACTGCTACTATTCTTAAGTTGATTTTGAATTAGTTCAATTACTGTCCGCTAGAAGGTGAACATTTGGTACAATCCATAACGAGTATTACAGAACTACGAAACTTAAAATTGCAATTTCTGAGAAATCAGAAATTCGCACTTGTGTCATTTTTCTATTGGAGGTGCAATATCTCAACTCATACATACGTATTCAGACTGTAGATGCGACAAAACCGCCTGGAACCACAATGCAAACTACCAGTAACTTCAGCAGCTGGTGCGGGGCCCCAGTACCCCGTGCCCTGTTGTCAAATCGGAGAGTCACGGCCTTCAGTAGAGGATGGCGATGGGAAGAGCCAAGATTCAGCCCATCTCTTTCCATCAGGCAAAGAGATGTTCTCGTATCGAGGTCCGGATGAGAGAGGTCCAATAATCCCACGAGTTTTATAGAATGTTCTTGAAGCACCCATGGAAACGCGCCCTGCGATCACGAGGTTGCCGGAGAGTTGAGAAATAGGAGAGGATAGTGAATTATATTACTAGCGCCACGATGGACGCCAGAGGCAGGAACGTTTCAGACATCCGACAAAAACGATTTACACGTCAGATGAAAAAGATTAAGAGCAGTCATTGACATAAATCCATGCAGAATTGACCACGTTTTTTCTTGACGTGTTGTATACTTACATGTTCAGTCGTACACTGTTTTGGTGGTAATGCGCGCGAGTTCACTGTGCGGTAACTATTACACTTACAAAGAGATGTATCATCAGAAAAAATCAAACCTGATGTCGTTGAAATGTGAACTACCATAGGAGCTCTTCCAACTCTTCATGACATGAGGGATTTTCAATGTTATACATTCTTCTATAAAATTGTCACAGGTTGCTCTAAGACATAAGTTTCTTGTAAATTGATGCAATAATTATAACTGAAGAGATTTTTCTTTTAAAATGAAAACTACCTGAAGTTAAGATCAATGTTGGGTGTTCTGGATATATTTGACAGTGTATGCATACTTTATTAAAATACTATACGTTACACAAATTTAATTTATTTCATGTCATTTACTGTTAATTGTACATGAGCATCTACTTCTAAAAATGTGGGATGAAGTGAAGCAGAACGCCAATAGAATAGAGAGACACCGGAGTTTTTTGCTCAGCGTCAAGATAACGGTGGCGTACATCACTTTTTTGCCTCTGTACATGCGCTAACTCGAACTCCACGGGATAGCGGAGCCCGCTATTCCACAGGATTAAGTTTAGTGGGCGACTCACATTGAATGCTAATCGTTCACTCTACCATGCCATAGTGGTTTGAACTGTAGCGGCAGAGTTTACTGCTAACACTTTTTTCTATGATACTACATCATCATATTCATGGCTTTATTTTGTACATGTTGTTATCAGTATATACGTTATTAACTATATTTATTTTATAATATAAATATTTAAAAATACAATAATTTAAGCAGTCAAATATAAGAAACAGTATGATTGTCACTAATACTATTAATAATTTAACAATTGGATACTTTCCGAAACATTTATGACAATTTTCATTTTTAAACTCCATGATATGTTCCCTTTGTCTTTATTTTTACAAGTGTACTTCTGTTTTGATAAGTTTCTTTTCTCTTTCAGATCTGATTATTCCTGTTTCTTACTTTATTTCATTGACGACTTTTTCAAATTATAAATTAAAGTTCATGTTGTAAGTTCTTTCCCATCTATTTAAATATATTTTGTACTTATTACATATTTTTTATTTATATTTGTTTATTCCATAATTTCATCACTCTTGCTGTGTAATTTTATTTTTAATACAGTAAAATCTGTGTGTTTGAATCGATGGAAAAATCCTATTTAGGGAGGTTCCGTTTTATGCAGGGTTGCCCATTTATGACTCTTGTTATATATTTCCGTTCTGAAACTAGTAAATTAATGTAAGTAAAGAGGTAATTGAAGTAATGTACAAATTACATGATTTTATTATGATTATTAAAATTGATTTACATATAACTATTTATGAAAGAAATCAGCATAAATTAATAATAATCATTCTTCACTGACAGCATTGACATTGAAGTTTTTCTTGCTTCCATAAGTTTGACCTTTTCATCAAATTTTGGAGTTTTATGGTTTTCGCATTGTAGAACTGGTTATGAAACTCATAAAAATACACACCACGGCGCTGTCTAATGGCTGTAATCGGACTGCTTGCTGACTCTTTCAACGGACAATGCGTCACAGCCCAGAGTACTATGCTTTTCTGAGAGCCTCGCATTGCCTTGAGTAATGCGTCTCTGACCGAGGGGCTACTATTACGAACGTTGGGCAGAGGAGAGACGCGAATAGAAGATTGAGAGAGTTGGGGGAGAGGGGAATCCCCTAAGGCCTACACCTTGGCACAAGTGACCCCAAGGTCGAATTCTACGTGGTCAGCTGAAGCCTTTCTTTTTCACAATGCAGTTGTCTCGACTAAACGGGCTAGAGAATTTAACACAGGCTTGGAGATGCAATCATTACATTAAGAATATCTCGCAGCTCTGCCAATCGCATTAAATCCACATGAATTCCGTTTTATACAGATTTTTCACCTCTACCTGTCTTGTACAAGTTCCGGTTTAGACATATTTTACTATATTTTCATTCTAAACAATATCATGAATCATTTTCATCATTAACACAAATTTCAATCATTAACAAATTCATTTTTCATTTTCAGACATAAATGTACTAATTTTTTGTTCACACCTGATGATGCATGTAAATATTACGCGAAACATCTTATAAATGGACAATAAAACATTTTTTGAAAACTTGTTTATTGATTGCCAAGAAAAGAATACCCGAGTATTAAATGATTAATAATACAATAATTACTTAATAATATAATTATATACAGATCATTGGTTGATAGGCAGCTCTAGTGGAACAAATGCGAATCCACATGTATGGGAGTGGCATTATGGGAATTTAACGCACACTCTGTCGCCGCAGTTAAGAACTTCATTTTCGACCCAAAGATTTGGCAAAACTCCTTTTAGATTTTACTCGCTACTGGTGACATGGCTGCTCCTTAAAGACGGCTACACACGTTCAAGCATACTTGTCAAGCATGCGTGCACAGTCATAATTGTGCAAGCATGCAACAATTTCCATCGCCTCTACACAGTACAAGCAAGCGTGCACAAGCGTCAGTTTGTTTGAAAATGTCGAGCACGGAGGACGAAGATGCATTCGCTTTGGCTGGTTTTGTTCTTCTTTGCAAAAGAAAAACACAGAAGAAGAAACGTGCCTTGTGGAGCAAATGTTGGTTAATGAAAAGAAAAACCTTTTCACATACCAACTTATTGAGTGAAATGAAGATATATCCACGATATTGGCATAATTATCTACGAAATTTATTTATTTAAAAATTAATTGAATTATCGTGATAATCTTTTGATTTTACACGCCACAGACATGAATTATTTTCGTAAACACGAATAAAGTAATAAACTTCTTCTAATAAACTTTTTGATTCACTACAAACTTTTTTTTCATTCATGGTGATGGAAATAAAATTTTATCACGTTTAAAAACCGTACACTTTACAACTTCAGACGATCAACTGACACTCGATTGCACAAGCTTGCATCACCTTGGTACACAAGTCCAATCCATCACGTGCAGGAAGAGCTTGTACAAGGATGCATCATGAAATTTCCATCAATCCTCAAGCCCCTTGTACAATCAGAATGCTTGAACAATCCTGTCGTACAGACATTCAAGCATGCTTGCACAATCGTGATTGGGCAAGCATGCTTGACAAGTATGCTTGAACGTGTGTAGCCGCCTTAAGCCACAAAAACTCTCTATCAAGGAATGTTTATATTTGTACACCCTATTTTAGGGTATGTAATATACACACACATGGACAATGCACACATGTCATCGGTCTCGCCTATTGCCTTCGCCCTTCGCCTTTGGCAGACACATCATTTACCCTTCAAGCAGCAAATCACGCAGTGGCATAAGGAAAATTGTAATCTTTCCGTAGATATAACTGTATGGGTTGATTGTATTGTATTGTAATGTGATATCCTGTGAAGTGATGTATTGCTTTATTTTATTAGTTTATTTTGATAATCCAATTGTATTGTATTACGATGGCTATGTCCTATTGTGACGAATAATTGTATTGTGATTGTATTTTAATATGGTATATAACGGTGAAATCATCTGTATTCCCGACAGGTGATTGATGATTAAAACAAACAACCGCCACTTCTACTACCACCTTGCAGTAATTTTACCGCAAACAAATTAAACGGTTATACAAAATCTGTTTTCTTGAATTTTGTGATATCTCTTCTAAAGCTACAGGAGCGAAGGCTTCGTGGCTGACAGAGATCGATGAAATGTCATCACTACAGGTTGTTTCAGAATAAATGTTAGAAACTTTGAGTATATATAGATGGCCCAAAATAATCATGTTTTAGTTCGTATAACGAGGCAAGTGCGTATGCAAGTCTCATTCTGGCGCAGACAAGGAAAACTAATGTATCTGCCGAACACAGGTGTATACGTAGTTGCCTAACATTCAGATGCTAGTATGACATTTGTACCTTCTATGAAGTTTCCAACCACAAAATCATAAGGAAAAAGTGAAAATTCGTTCTCACTTATATGCCCTAAGTTTATAATATTTATTCTCAGACATCCGTATTGTATACTGTAGATAAAATGGAATTAAATTTGTTCAAAGAAGTGTCACCCTCATCAGATCACAATGGTGGGGGAGAATTCTTTGAACAAATTTAATTATTAAATACATTGGTTACTCAGTAACCAGGTCACAGCTTGGATACATTTACTGTTGCGGAACGTATTTCCGTCGAAAGTGTATCTCCAACAAGGTGACAGGGTGGTAACAATCCTTTCTAGAAAACGGAACGTCTATTCGCACTCCACACGTAAAAGCGTCGTGTGCTGCAGTTCAGTCTTGTCGTGGGCACCTCTGCAGCGCGTGATGACGGCCTTGGGGGGGAGGGGGGGCCCTTCGTCCAGGGAGACGAGCGCCGTCTCCTCCGCCCCCGCCCCCACCGCCGCCGCCCGCCGCCCCCGCACGCTCAGCGCGCTCCTGAAACTGAGCAACAAACCACACACATCAGAGCTACATCGCGCATTTACTGGAGTATTGAGCTGTTGTACTCGTTTGTTGGTTCAACCCAACCGAAGCTGTGGATTTTTAAGGGCAAAAAAATGTACCCCTTTGTACCCCTTCTTTCAGAGTGAAAGTAAAGCCTGTTTTAGATTTACTGCATGGAAAGAGATGAAAATCCTCAAGCCTAATAGAAGCGTCTCTTTTTAATTAAAAATCTCCTGTTTCGTCACCCGAGTAACGTCACCCTGCTACCGTCTTTCTACGCTAGATGGTGAAAAGGGAGCACCGAAATTTGCGTGATCAGACGGAAGAGCGGGTCTGACGGCCCGCGTCTCGGTACGTAAAATAAATCGTGATAAACTATCGCAAATGTTTCCTTTTGAGGTAGAGTCCGCGTTACGAATTTGTGCCCTCGGCACAAGTCACAGAGCGGAAAGACTGCGAAACTGAATGCCACCTCAAAAACATTGACTTCCTAACCTTTCTACAGGCAGTCTCAAAAATATATTCTCATTTCGTGTAAGAAAATACACATTAAAACCAATGAAACAAATTACTCTCACAGGCAAAACTAATTTATCGGCGATTAAAATGCGCGGCTAACATTGAACTAGCGAATGTTTCCTGAAGAGCGTTAGTATGCGTCAATGGATCAACTGCGCATGCGCAGTGACGCTCTTCTCGTGTGCAACTTTTAACGGCCGTTGAGTCCATACCGGACATCTCGCGCTAACCTGAGTAGAAGATACGCTATTTGTTTGTGTGGTGAGCAAACAAACGACACATTGATGAAGAACTTTTCCAGGAGTACGTCTAAAATTAAATTAATTGAGATTATGTTTTCGAAATGTTGTGATTTTCCAAAAAAAATATTATTTTGTCCAGTTATTGCGGCGGCGATGGAGAAACGGTCATAGCCAAGTGCGCGCGATTTCAAACCCGATCGAAGCCGTGGATTTTTAAGGGCAAGAAAATCCTTTGTACGCCTTCCTTCGGAGAGGAAGCAAAGCCAGCTGTCTCTTGTTAGTAGATTTACAGCATGTAGAAGATCCTCAAGCCTAAATGAATCCTCTGAACTAAATTGAAATCACCTGTTTCGTCGTCCAATACCTCCTTTCTCCACTAGTGGGTGAAAGGAGCGTACCGCAATTTGCGTGGTCAGACAGATGATGCGGGCGTGATGGCCCGAGTCTCACCACGGATAATAAAGTCATCAATTCAAAATGTATAGACAAGAGATCACGCAAACCATCCGGGATTGCACTTCTCCAGAGAGTGGCACACATCGTTTATAACAGTTTCATCTTCCTGCGAGCATTTTACAGCTCTTACGGCCGTCACACGGATCTCAATCTTCAAACCCCTGTATTGCGACTGCCGACATGGATACCCCTGTTCGGGTGCTAACTTGCCTGGGTGCTGTCGGGAGTCGCTTGAAACCGCTGATCCGTCGGTCGCCACAGTGCGACGGTTTACCTGTCTGCGGCCCCTGATCGATCACATCTCGTCTCGATAGCCCCGTGAGCTCTGAACACCCCACACGCGGATTCGAGACGAGCTCGCATCGTGCCGGTTCTATTTTGAGGGTTGCGGGGCTAGAACATGATCGATCACATCTCGTCTCGATAGCCCCTGAGCACTGACAACCCCACACGCGGATTCGAGTCGAGCTCGCATCGTGACCGTTTTATTTTGAGGGTTGCTTGGCTAGAACATGAGCGATCACATCTCTTCTCGATAGCCCCTGAGCACTGACAACCCCACACGTGGAATCGAGACGAGCTCGCATCGTGCCGGTTTTATTTTGAGGGTTGATGGCTAGAACATGTAGGGTGGCATGCCTGGCTTTGAAATAATACCCTGAGGCGAGATTCGAGCACATGAATTCTTCTCAGCTGCTCGCAAAGCGCGAGGACGTACACGGACACGGAGTTCTCAGACGTTGCAATTGGAAGTTCCGCCGAGTGAAGGAGTTCGACGTCTTCTCACAGCTGTGAAGCTCCTTTGTCGTCGTTCGGCTGCTCGGCGCGTCCTATTGTCTCATTTCGACCACCGTGTCAGACTCATTATTGATTTAAATTGTTGCCTTATTTTACGAGGTGAGATGCAGGCCATCAGGCCCGCTCTTCCGTCTGACCACGCAAATTTCGCTACGCCCCTTTCACCCACAGGCGGAGAAAGGAGGTATTTCTTGGACGTGAAAAGGCGATTTGGGTTTAGCTCTGAGGCGCCATTTAGGCTTGAGGAACTTTTACATGCACTACATCTACTAACATGGGACAGACGGCTTTACTTCCCCTTCGAAGGAAGGCGTACAAAGGATTTTTTCACCATAAAAATTCACAGCTTCGATCGAGTTTTAACCCGTGAACTTGGATGTAATAATCCGATACGCTAACCGTTACACCATCGCCGCCGTTGCATTAAATGCATCGCTTACGCTCTCTCACTTCCGGCAAGGCTGATCTGTCACTTCGTGGCTCGCCTTGCGTTATCACGTGATGTTGCGAAACTCCCAAGAGTGTCTTCTCCTTGAGGTTTACTCGTCTCGCGCATGACGGCCCGGAAGCACTTAGAGCTTCCATCTTACGTGGACGCTCGTTTCATTCCCCGAGAGCTTCTCTCACTCGTCCCACTCCTTCGAGAATCTTTGCGCTTCTGACTTTCGTCTTTCAATTGTTCCCCCGCACTCGTCTTCCCCTCTGTGTTTCGTTTCGTCAGTCTGATTGGTTCTCGTCTCGAACAGTCGATATGATTTGTCGAATTTAGTCACGTGCGAGGTGAATCCCGGAAATTGTATCTTGCGTCATTCTAGTCTCTCTGGTTTCCCAGCGCGTCGGTCAGGTCATCCACGGGGTTTCACTTTTACATTCGTCAATGTCCAAAGCGGGGAATTATGGGTGTGTTTATCACAGTCTAAGGCGGGAATCTCCTCTCCGATTGTTAATGTCGCGATCCCCGACCACGCCTAAAAATTGTGCGATCAGCCGGATTTCGGTTGATTCGGCACACTATCATTCCAGTAATTCTCTTCTTTGCATATCTTTAAAATCCTGAATCTGCAATTTCTCTCTTTTCCTTCTATCTAATGGAAACCACTCTAAAACTTTCTGAGACATCTCCCACAATGAAGCCTTTACACGCGAACAAACAAATTTAACCTTTTTTCAAAAATTTATTACGTCTGCATAGACGAAACGCGACTCCAAATCCTTTGGTGGGGGGCGTTGAGCGCTTGGAGTAATCCGCCGTTAATTTAGTGCGCTTATTAGAAGTAATACTCCATTACTAGTACGTCACGTCACGTCTCGTTGTAGTCAGTTTTCAAGATAACCGCCACGTAGCAACTCTGCGTACTCTTCTATCACGCGATCCTGCGTCACTACCCAGCGGCCAGAATTGGGAAGGAATGAGGATTGGGATAATATTTCAGGACGCTTCACAGGGGTTCGACTAGCTCCTGCGAAGCAGGAAAACGCGTTTTGTTAAAAATTCGTGTTGCCATTTCATCTATAATCGATTTTTGTAGCTGTATTCGCTGAATCATTTCTTTATTTCTAATGAATTCTATTTTAGATTCTCTAAAATGTTTCAAAATATCTATTTATAGACATTAATTTATCTCATTCTCTTTTTCGTAATTCTCATATTTCTGAGCCGCATAGTCCCACATTTTGTATAATGGAGTCAAAAAGTCTTTCTTAGTAGATCTAGATACTTATTTTCCCTGGAGCAGCGAGATTAACTTTCTAATAGCGTGTCGTCCTTGTGTAATCGTGAGAACAATATCTTTTCTGGAATATCCGTCTCCGCTTATAAAATTCTGAAATCTCCTCAAATATTTAAACTCGTGTTTCTATCTTATTTACACTATTTGACATTTTCATCACTTTAAAAATTGGAATTTTAAGTGATTTTTGGCATCTAACTAATTTTAACGGATAACGACGTTTAACCAATGCCGTTTTTGACGAATAAATAAGTACTTGAAAGGCGTACCTCTGCTTGTATTCGCTGTTGCTGTTGCTGCCGAGCCGCTTCTTGCGAGGCCGCCACAAGTGGAAGGCGCCGTAGATGATGGGGTTCACGAGGCTGTTGCTCATCCCGAAGAAGAAGATCCACGACTGCAAGTCCTCGCTCAGCTGCGAACACGTTAATTGCATTATTGGCGTTTATTATATCTTCATGCAGGTGTCTCAGAGTACATTTTATTAATTTGTAGGGGTAGGAAATAGCAGGTGTGCGGACTTCTCCCCAAACAGATATCTCCCCCCAAAAGGGCTCCGCTCTAGCTGGGACAAGCTCTAAGCTCCCAAGTGCTCTAATATGTGTAGTGCATGTAAGTGTAAGTGAAGGGATAGTATGATATAAGATATAACAAGGAAGAGGACGGGAAGATCGCGCGCGGTCCGTGGCCCGTTAGCAAGCCCCGACATTCATCTGGTGACGATTGGAGAAACCACGGTAAATTACCAAACGAGGAGTCGGCTGCTAGAAGTCTCCTCCAGGCAGCGGCTGAATTCGGCCTAGCTATGTAGCTAGTGGCGAAAATTCTGCCACCGTCGGGAATCGAAGCCGGGACCTCCTGCTCACAGTCACTGCAGCGATATCACTCGCTGCTCGGAGCTACTTAAGCTGGTTTGACTTCGTTCGAAAGTGATCTGCCCAAAATCTGAGCATTAAAAGTAGCCTAACTCTGTTACAATGTTCTGTTTCTTATAGCCACCTACTGGCGTGGAACGCTTTTGGAGTAATCCTCTTTTTAGTCATCGTCAGTCGTAGTCTTTATATCTTCGGCCAGCGGATCCGCGCCGTAACTGGGATTCTCAGACGGTCCCGTCCAGGGACCCCTGGTGTCCCGAGTTACTCGATTTCCGTGACTTCACGTTAAGCAATTAGGCTAACGACACCGGCGCCGTCGCTCGATTACGGGCGAGTTCACATGTACAACTTCATTGTACGAAATGTACCTCTACTAGTTCATTGACAAAAATAATCATTTTCGACTCCTGTACACACTGTAACAGTTTGTAACTTTACTTTCAGACACTAATTGTCACGCGTCATAATTCATTTGAAATGACAGTAGTGCATGTGTTAGCATTGTCTGGTTTAATTTATATTCAACACCTACATACAGCTCTTTCAGATTTCACGTGAGGAGTTGGTAAATTACTGAACTTCGGTTGTTCTCTCATCAGAACTGTTCATAACACATACCACTTATATTACTATAATGATATTTTGAGTTTTTGTGTGCTTTATATCAAGCATTAATCTTAACATTTTTTTCAAAAATTACTCAAATTTTACTTGAAATGTTTTCCCCTGATAGAAAAAAAAGCTTCAAGAAATAGCATAGTTTACAGTTTTGTTTAACTCTGAATTATCGACAAGTGCAAATATTTTTTGGAGTCGTTCTACAACTACAATAATGAAGATGGACATTTTCCTGTAATAATGAGTATTAAACAAAACAAAAACATAGTTTTAAATAAGGCCATGTTCAATTTCTCGAAAACGTGAGTAGTTTTTGTGTAATTTTGCGTGAAACATAGGCAATTTGAAACACTTATTTTCTATAAAAGGGATCCAAACATTTTATAAACATTTTTTCTCGCATGTAACAAAGAACGGCAAAGAAAGGGGTGCTCTTTCCCATTTTCGGCCAACACTGTATTTTCGAAAATTGCAAACAAAAAGTTAATGCAAATGTACAATATTAATGGTAGATTGTTTGTTAAATTCTAACAAATAATTTCTTTAAAAATGTGTATGTTATGCGAAATTATTCAAGTTTTGAATGTGCAAATCCGAATTTTATGCTCTCCGTGTTTCTAGTCTTTTACAAGATCTTAGATTGGAATCAACAATGGCGAGCCCGTTACGACATGCCTGTAGGCCATTCTGTGAATTCCATGTCATTGTTGGGCGATTGGTGGGGTTAATGAAACGCACTTTCAATTAGTTCATATATTAGCTTTAAAAAATTGGGTTTTCGCACTTAATGTTCTACAATTTGTAATGAATTTTATAAGTTGAGATTAAGATGTGTTCATACGGACTGAACTTGCTAACACGTCAAGAAAATTATAGTGTATATTTATTTATTCACTTATTTAATGTTGATTTCCAAATCTAAATATTTGTGATAAAATAGTGTTGAACGTCTTCGTTTGTTTCTTTAGATTTGTGGTAAAAATCTAAAAATGTCCTGTGTTTTTTACGTTTACTAAATACGATCGCCTTATACTAGGGGCGAAGGCGAAGGCGAAGACTCACGTGCTTGTCCGGGTTGAGGAACATGAAGATTATCATCATGGTGTAGTAGGGCGTCCACCACACGATGAAGGCCGCCACGATGACGATGGAGATGCGCAGCGACTTCATCTTGGCGCGGTGGATGAGGCGGCGGCGGTTGGCGTCGGTCGCCACCAGGTGGTCCCCGCGCGCCACCTCCGCGCGCAGCGTCTTCTCGCTCTCTGCAACGCACGCCCCGCAGCGCTCGCTCAGCCACGGCAACCAAGGACAGGGACCATTAGACTCATTGATTAGTGGCTGGATCTCGTCATCCGGCGGGGAGAAGATCACAGCCAACACGCACCATTAAAGACATTCACTACACTTACGGGACTAATGACCTTAGCAGTTCACGCGCTCGGAAACTTTAATAAACCGTTTCGGGACTTCAAATTGGTGCCGAACCCAGCGGTTGAGGCTTACATTACAGTAGAACCTCCTTAATCCGAACCCAGCAAATCCGAAATTTCGGATAATCCGAACAAAATTTGAGATGGAGGAAAAATTAACAAAATAAATAAAATACTTATTTGTAGTGTAAAGAAAGGATTTTATAATTACTATAGGGCTGAACAACTAATTATTGAAACACAAGTTGTCGAAATAAAACCTTTATTAGTGGTAACTTTGGTGCTTATGACATGTTTATGTAGCAGTAATTTGTTACTTAGCAAAATCAGCCATTTCCCCTTTTGCCATACTTTGTACTCTTGTGGCTCACTGGCGACGATCTTTCACCACTGAGGTTCTGGATTCGATTCCCGTAGAATCCCTGTAGAACCTCATGTGAAATTTGTTGCGACAAAACGAGTTTGCCTACTTCACAGGGACTAGTCCAACCCCGTGTGAAGCGTCCTAAACCTTCCTAATTCTGGCTGATGGCTAGATGCAGATGCAGGGCGCGTGCGAGACGCAAGCGCTACCTTTCGACGAGTGTCTGACTTAACTGCGTCTGATATGACTTGACTACCCAGTGGCCCTAGAGAGTGCTGAGTGCTTAATAACGGAGGATTACTCTAACAAAAATTAACTGAAGATTACTCCACAGGGCGCTCAACGCTCCTTAAAGAGCTAGCAGCCGCGTTTCGTCTATATAGACGCAACAAATTAATTAATTAAAAAACAACTAAATCTGGTTGACGATGCAATCGCTCCGCTACGTTGCAATATTTCATATCAAACGCTACGTCGCATTGACTGCTAATCCCATGAATTTGTATATGTACGGCACATTTTTTCTGATAATCCGAACACATCTCACCCCTAATTAGTTCGGATTACCGGGGGTCTACTGTATATTGATGTAAACGACACGCGGGACGGTTTTTGCCGCAGCAACCGTAACTCTTAACTTTCTCAAACAAAACCCTTTGATAACTATAAAAAACTGTCTAATATGATTCTGATATGTTCCTATGCTGAAATAATTTTATTCTCAATCCAATATTTTCAACAAGCAATTTTCTAAAATTTAAAGAGATGAATGGAAACGGGACCAGTTTTTTGAGAAAATGTTCTTTGTTTAATTTGCATTAATTTCAACGAGAAATTAATTGGAAACTAGAAAATTGTGTTTGAACTTTTAAAGGGCTGTTTTTTAGAACAGAGTTTGTTAAGACAAAAATCACTATCTTCAAATTTATAGTTTAGTAACGTGAATTTACGGAGAACATACAGTCCCTGGTCATATTATTAGACGCACCCTAATTTTCAATAAAATTCACGTTTTTGAGACGAAAAATGTACTTTTTTATTTCTAACGAAATACATAAGTAATAATTGAATACTTACGATAGAAACAAGATATCATATGCAAATTATGACGGTTCCAGTATAATAATATAAAACCTAAGTTTCTAAAAATCTCCATGCAACATGTTATTTTCTTCAATACTTTGTCAGGCTACCTTTTGGCGGCTATTAGAGCCTTTTATTCTTTTTGGTATGATATTAATGCATGCTGCGACAGTTTCTTGCAACTCTGGATGATGGCTACCGACATGGTATTATTTTATGTGGCGAATTTTTGTTGTTATTTCTTAATTTGCGATTTCCCTCTTTATGAGCTCCCAAACATTTTCTATATGGTTCAATATCTGGTTGTGAATTTCCTGACCATTGGGGGGTTAACACAGACATTTTTCTCCAACCAAAATGATCGAACTGTTCTTTTTTTTTTGGAGCAGTGTGACTTGGAGCCCCATCTCGCATTAAAAACAATGATTCTTTCAATTGAAACCATTCCTGTAGTTGAGGCAGCATCGTTTCTCCAATACTTGTTTGTACTGCGTCTTGTTTCATGTATGTCCTTAACCAAGTACAGACCCCGTGCCTTTGCCACTGATCACTGAGCCAAATCATTGCCTTGAACTGATGTTTCACAATCCGGAATTGCACAATCTGAATGATACGTTTCACCAGGGCGCCTTCCACAATTATGTTTGTTTGCTAGAATTCGAAAGTGCATTCGTCGCCAAAACAAACCTTAAATACAAGTAAATGACATTAGAATTAATTTTGTAGCCATTTATACTATGAAAAAAAAGCAACATGACTTAAATTTTTTTACGATTTTCCAGAAGTCCAAATGTTTATTCTTAAAGGTTCTTAGCCCATGCAAGACGTTTTTCTTTTGCACCAGCTGTTAAATCCTGAGTGTGTGGGGCTGGTCTTACAAACTTTAAAATTCATTTGTAGTAGTGTACACCTTTACTGTCCTTTCAGATACACAATCCACTACTTCCCAATTTTACATTTAATTTGTTTCAGTAGTAGCAAAACCTGTTTTCATGGAAATCTTCCTCAAACATCTCTCAGATCTTAGTGAAAATATTCTTTCTTCCGTCCACAAATGTGTTCTTCCTTCCGTGGGATAATTCTTTCATAAGGACAATTTTTTTCTTAATTCGCCGAATAGTGTCTCCGGATACGATTCAACCTTCGAGATAACTCACCGATTTGAATAATTTTCTTAGTCGACAAAGCTTTCACTGCTGCCCTGGCCGTATCTTCCGATGAGACAAAATCACTTATCTTTCCCATTTATTTGTATTTCAAAACTAATCAGGTTTTTCGTATACAACAATCACAATTTTTAAATAACACGGGCTATATCTATTTCACCAAACTAATAAATGCGAAAATAAACCATCTTCATGCAACAACACACTATCATGCCACCTCTTGTTCTACTCAAACTCTTGTAAATTTGTGCGTCTAAGAACACATGAGGTGTCCAAACAATGGTACAGAATGACAAATAGATGTGTTAATTATTAGAAAAGAAGCTTTGCTTTTATTGATTATTCCGCACCAAAACGCCAGATTGTAAAGTACTGCAGTGAGAGACTTCAAAACTTAATATTTTGTTAAAAATTTGGAGTGCGTCTAATAATTTGGCCAGGGACTGTATACGAGTAGTACGAGAATACTATGAGTTCGCCAGAAATGAGACTAGCACTATATTTTTTACCTTTCTTTGTTACATATGAGGACAAAATTGTTGAATTTTTTAAAAATTGCATAAATTTCACACATAAATAACGCAAAATCTACTAGTTTTTTTTCAAAAAATTGTACATGATCTTTTTTAAAGAGCTGATTTTTTACAACATACACTGTTTAAGGCAAAAATCACTATCTTAAATTTTGTAGTTTTGAAATGTAAACTTCTTGCAATTTTCGAAAATACGGAGAGTTTGCTGGAAATGAGACTACCACATATTTTTACCAGCGTTTGTTACATATTAGGAAAAAAATTAAATAGAAACATCTAGAACGGTTTTTGAGAAAAAAATATTTTAACAAATAATAATTGTCTATATTTCGCGCAAAATACACACAAACTACTCACATTTTCAATAAATTGAATGTAACCTTTCAAGATGTCTTTAAAAACAATTTTTCATCAAGGATAACATTTCTATCTTCAATATTGTAATTGTAGGAAGACGCCACTAAAAAAATCCACATTTGCGATTCTTGGAAAATAAGGATTTTAGTGACCACAAGACCTGCACCTTTCTCTTCAGCGTCCTTTACGCTATCCGATTACAAAGTTTAATGAAAACATTTAAAGGCACTTTCAGAAAATTTTGAAAATTGTCAGGTTAAGTAGCTACAGCTTCCCAAAGCTTCGAGTTCGTTCAGATCGATCGAGGATTATCAATTTTGAAGAAACTCCGCTGATTGGTTTAGGTGCTATCGTTGACCACAGACGATCAGACAGATATACGTTATGCTTTCAATCGATTTTTCGGTGTCAAGGACCCACAAAATATGGATTCTGGCTACACCATGTGTTAGAGGAAGTACTTTACTATGAGTCGCGCTAATGAATGCTACGAATTATCTTTTAAGTTTTTAAACCGCTCTCAATAATCACAATTTCACAAACAAATCCTTATACTTCAGTAGCGGCTATCCGTAGTTTTACTTGATCTTGACCAGGAACGCTAACTGTATGTGCGCGCATCCCTGGCACAGGCGATGGTGTAACGGTTAGCGTATAGGACCGTGGATTTATAAGGGAGAAAAAATCCTTCGTATGTCTTCATTGGGGGGGGGGGTAGTAAATCCGGCTGTACCTCCTTTCTCCACTAGTTGGTGAAATGAGCGAAGTGAAATTTGCGTGGTCAGACGGAAGAGCCAGGCGTCATGGCCAGTCTCACCACGTAAAATTCAACAATTCAAATCAATTCCTTAACTAGCTAAAAAAACGTGCTGAACTGCGCTACTGTATAAATATGTATACTGTGGGTGAAGTGTTAGGAGATCATAAATACTCGCCCACACTCCCACGCCGACAGCCTTCCCTCGCAGGCTCGAACTCATCCGCACAAACTGCGATATACGACTCCATTAAAGACGATATATGGTCCCGCCGCTCGACTTGTCCATTGATCGGGCGCGGCGCATTGCATCCATCCAACGGGAACAAGAGACAGCCACATAACCCGATCACGCGTGTTTTATCACATCCGACATCGGCGCAACATCGGGGCGCCATTGATACCAGCGAGCCTCCGACAGAATTCAGCAGGCGTAGCAACTGTCCGGGCGAAGAAATCACGTGTCAAGGTGATGCACCGGACCAGTTATCAAAAACTCTGTCCGTTCAAAGACTGTAGTTTTCATCGGACAAAGGAGTTTTACGATTGATTGCAGTTCATTCCATGTTATCTCTTGTTCCTATTTTGCTTATTCAGTTCAATATATTGAAACAAACTCGAACTTGTCGAGTTGCGTTAAATGGAAAATTGTATCAAGTGTCGATGAAAGTAGAATTAGTGAAAATCCTTGCATCTCTCCCCGACCCAGAGCTGACCATCCCCGGAATTCTGGAAAGCGACACATAAAGAAGATTTGTATCGCGCTTGGCGCCTAAAAGAAATATAGTGAAAGCAAACGCCGAGCTTCATCAACATGTTCTTCTGACACGTCTCATTACATCTGGCGTCTAGGATGTGTTTTAAGTGCGTTCCATTGCCGGAAAGTTCTCCCGTCAAGTTGCAATACATTTGGCATCCAACCATTCATTTGTCATTTCCAACCAGTACATTTGGAATTTAAGCAGGTTAAGTTAAATAGGAACAGCATTTATCCCTTACCAAGGTCCGACAAAATAGTTTTCCTGTCGAAAATTCGCCGTTTTCTAGCGCACGATTACAATGCTTTCTCTTCGTTCAATCGCAAGGGGAGAGAAAGTAAAAAGAATTGGCTTCCAAAAGGACATACGGCAGACCTACGCTGTACCAACAGCAGAAACATCATTTTTGATAAGTTGAACTGAGGTTTTTCGCAGAAAGCCATTGCTCGTGAGCACAATGTTGAGCTACAAATTTTCTATGTAAATAAATGTACAGTATCTTTGGGTTTAATGAAGTAGTGTACAGTCTCTGCGTGTTTAATGAAGTAGTGTACAGTCTCTATGTGCTTAAATCAACTTACCACCTTCTCGTTAATATGACACTATCCCTAATCCAGAACCCATATTTGCCAGAAATGGCCGCATTAGCTAGTGCAGTGTATTTGCCCATGATATTCCTTGGCTGTATTCGTTGCTTGAATTGCACTTTTCTCAGGGCAGCGATCCATCCAGTTCCTCAATTACAAACATATCGCACACTCGGAACTCGGAATGTCCTAAAATAATAATGTCTACAGGAATGAGATTATAACAGCATAACATTTGATCTCAGGAATTCAAAAATTACACAACTGTAATTTTTTTAACATTGAACAGAAAATTATTTTCTAATTGAAACATCATAATGTTTCAGATAAGTTATATTTAAACTAGCAGATTCTGGCAGAAGTTGTCCTGTCAAATGCTAACATCTAGCGTAACGCAATTGGATAAACTATATTTATGGTTTTCTGATTCTTCTTCTCTGACCTACTGTTAGTGTGCCACATATGACCCATTGAATATGATGAAGCAGCTAAGGCGATTATTTCACTTAACAGTAGACCATATGCCAATTTGTGGGATCAGGGATGTGGGTTCTCTGCACTCGTGTATCACACAATCACTCAAATTAATTTCGTTTGTCAAATTATACTATAATCTCCAAATATACACGATATCACTTTACAAACAAAAATACAATGCGCCGAAAAGAAGCTTCCCTGCAAAAAATACTTATACAACTAACACATATCAAGCATTACTTACAGCTTTTACATAAAAGAAAATTGTAACTCTTCGAATACAATTGTTCTCAAGACAATAATAAAGTTCTTTCTAAACCTTATGATTCTTTAAACTAGTCTATAGTATTTATGATGGCAACGACATTGAAAGAAACACAAAACTATAATGATTGACTTGATTAATCAGGTCACTTATCATAACTCTAATTTGATTCTTTTGTACACTGCGAAATCACTAGTACACACATAGAGTTCAGTGTAAAACAAATATGTTACTGTCCTTTCCACTTTCAAAATAGTTATACTATTGTGAATCGCTTTGGTCTGCTCCAGCTTTTAATCACTTAATCTAGTTTCTTTTTTAAAGAAAGATAGATTCTTATTTTCTTGTTTCGTTAAGATCCCTGACGATTATTCAGTCAAAATGGAGTTCACATTGGAACGTTCTTACATGCGAAAAAAAAAAACACAGCAGGAAGAAAAGTGTTTGATCTACATTGGAGTCTTTCTCGTGACTGCCCTTGAACTCCAGCTCACCCTCACCTCGGTCACACCAGCCCTCGCACGGTGAAATGCGCAGATATGTAGCTCACTCTTCCATGAGTTTTGCGAAGAGTTATAAATTCGAGGACACCTTAACTTATATGGCACTGTCTTCTAATACACCGTTACGCCACACCTCGACTACACAGGTTATTTTTCTCTATCGAAAACTCAACTCGCGAAGTTTTTCGCGAGTTGCCTGACCTGCATTGTACGCTAGCGAACTCTCTTGGTAAGTTTCTACACTTCCGCTGCCGGCGCTTCAAGCTTCGGCCGATGCTCTCTCACGCCCCAGCTGAGCAATGTGTCTCGTTTTCTTATTTTTAGGAAAACAGTTGGTCACAGTACATATTACTAGATGTACTGAGATTGTGGATTTTTTAAATTTTATCCCAGGCTTGCTGTTGAGGCTTGAGGTTGAATGTCATCTCAAAGTAAGGCCTCAGAAACTGTAGTCGTTTGAATGTGAAGGGCAAACCAATATGGTGAAGGAGCACATCTTCTCCTTTGCATTTGCTCTTAAGTATTATTGCTTCAATCACATTTACACAAGTTTTTTCATGATAAGTCTGGTTTTGGGGAATAACTTTGGCGCTTTCAGATTCTCAAGGAATCGTGTTGGTGGGCTACGTTTCAACGTCAGTTTGTACGGTGGGATTCCAGGGGCTCCAATGAATTAACAAATTCGACTGGATAATAATTAATAGCTCGATCCTCTTCAGTAACTGTGTCAATCGATTTGTATTCTGTGAACACACCAGGACATTTGCAATTGAATATCATTTATTCGATTGACGTCATCTTCTTTTGTAGCTAAGATAGCACGATCGCAAAATCAAGCGCGATTTTCTGAAGTTGTTGGCGATGTTCGGAAAACATTTTCACCATTTTCACTGTTGATGTGTGAAGTTGACAGAAGTTCTGAGGGAACGGTATCAAATGTGTTTCAAATGTTGCGAAGTGGATGTGCTGATATGTTCAAAGGTAGATTGGGAGCCAAATTCGCGGTGCGCCCTCCATTGAGTAGCGTTGCTGCACAGCGGTGTTGAGATTGTCTGATGACTGTAGTATCCAAAAGAAAGCAATTTCTAAAAATGGATTAATTCTAACCACAATCCGTACAGAGGTAAACAAATTCAAGCCAGATCCAAACAATTTTCTAGAGGATGTACCGAAGAATGTCCAAGTCACAATTTCCCCGGGAGATGTCCGAAATCGCAGCCGTTGTACCGTTCACTGTTTCACGAGAGAGAAAGTCCGTATCCGTATCCGTGTCGTCGCACTAGTTCACCATACACTAATCACTTCGCGATGCAGACAGGCGCTTGACTGTGGCACTGCTCGCCGGGCGCGGCTCTTATAGCCGGCTTGGGCTGCGGGTCCGCTGGCCAGCTGACCGATACGGATGCGCCCGTCCGCTCCGGAGCCTGGTCGAGCGTGACGGCGCCGCGGCGTCTGCTACCGCCGGCCTCTCTTGAGCGACACCGGAACTTTCCGGCAGCACTTTTAAAGGCATGCAATCGACCACAGCAATGACGCCACTGCCAGGACAATGTCATGCCTCATTCGAATTACTGCGAATATCAAATTGAGTAGAAATGTTTTTTTCTGCGCCTCCTGATACAGATACATCAAGAAAAAGAAGTATCACTTTCACCCCATATATGTTCCATGACTGAGTAGTACGTATGTCGTCTATGGATTATTGAGAGCCTTTTCTGAGCTTCAACATGCAGCGCATATGTTGACGACGTCGTACGGTTTTTCTAGCAATACGTCTCTACGCCGAGGAAAATATACTCAGCTGATTGGGGATATGGTTGCAGATAGATGTGTGTTGCACTCACACACGCTCGTTGCGGACATACGCCCGTCTCCTCGCGCTCCAAAAACAAATTTGTCGCGGGCAGCTGGTTGCTGCTTTGCCACTGCGGACCAGGGCAGCCCCTTCTAGCTAAAGTATGCCAGGGTTGTAGATATCGCTCACGCCCTCCTGTCGACAGCCTTCTATGCCAGACACTACCATTTCCAATTGCCAATGAGACGGTCCAGATCCTTTGAGAACGTATTGTGAGAACGGCTGCATTGCGTCACGTGTAGGTGAAACCTGACCCTTGTCAAGGCGATAGCTACTGTTCTCGAGTGAATCGATGCGCATCTCTAAGGAGAACAGAATGGATTTTCACAAGTGCGAAGCAACGAGCTTCCTTAATCCCTATTATAAAAAAAGTTACACACAGTTCGCGCATCTGTTACCCTAACAACGGCTCTTTCTAAGCAGAAGAAAAGGAACAGATCTTAACCAATAGGTAATTCTATAAGCAGGTCAACCGATAGAAGAAAGTTCCTTGTTAATAGTTGTCCAATAAACCTCAGAACATTCTCGAACATCCCGAAATATTACAGTCCAGCAAACACGCGAGGCGATGGTCGCGGTAGGAGAGAAGAGGAGTTTTTCTTACGAATGAGGTTCGAGCACGACGATATAACTTCCCTTCAGTCATAGATTTCAACGTCTTCTGTCGCAACAATCATCCCTTTTCGGTCAGAAATTTCAATGACTTCGGCCGCAATCATTATTTTATTTCAGATAGAACTTTGCAAAATCTCGTGGGAAATCATCCGAAGCTACTGTTTACTAGCATTTCTCGATACGCCTCTACAAGAAGCACTTCGGCGTATAAACTGGGGCTTGTACGGGGAACCTAATAATCCGCATGATTCTGGCGTTTGTTGCCGATTAATTAAGAAACGCAAGGCAACAAAGTATAATCATTTGTGAAATGTCAATAACTTTTTTTATAATTCGCGATTGTATGTACCTCGCAAATGAATATACTCTTCGGTTAGAAGATTTGATTTGTTGTAACGATCGTTCGCTTTCATTACATATCAACAATGAATTGTTGGAAAAGCTCTCAACACTTCAGGATGTGGTTGGATTGTTGGCGATATATAGAACTTCTCTCGCAGCAGTTTCTGCAAATGCTCTCAATCATCGAAGCAATATTTCGCAGCCTCAACACTAACGTTACAAAAAAGTACTTCAGATTCGGTGTTGACATTCATGAAGAATGGCAGAACCAGGTTTTCCGAAAAAAAAAAAAATCGTCTTTGATAAAATTGAATTTAAGTTACTTCCGGGCGCGAAATTCAAAACTGCCGCAACGTCACAGCAGACACCGGCGCGGTGTCGGGGCTGAGCGTAGCGTTGTTTTATTTGACTTTTCGGTGAAACTGTCGAGTGAGGTACATTGCTTGCCGCGCACTGAGGGTATTTTAACAGCACCAAGTGTTTTATGTGTACTATTCATTTAATCTACTAAATGTACTAAAATTAATTTTTGCTCTTTGTTATAACTACGGTACTCAGCGGCGTAAGTATAAACGCTGATTACGAACCAAACCTTATGGAAATCAACAAAATTCCTACAATGCTCGAATTTTTTTTCGTATCTTCAGTATAAACTAATGCCTTGTACTTTAGAGAGTCGCATACGATAAATGATAGTCCCCAGCAGTTTTTTACCTAAAGATCATGGCATAATTTATGTTAACAGCGTTTTGCAACTAAAATTGGGTGCATTAAAATCGTTTACAGACTGTAATATTGGCAAAACTCGGAAAAGCCAAAGGCTTTTTTTTTTTGTGGTGGTCGAGTTATAGATACCACCAGCGTAGTAACTGGTGCATTAAGAAGTATGATGAAGTGTAATTAAAATGCTTCATTGGAGTTCAGTTAATAATAACAATTATAAAATATTTTAACATGTGTCATAACATAAAATTCGTATTTTTACTTTCTTCCTACAAAGTAGAGAGACGTTATGTAGTAATGCTG